AAACTTATTTTAGAGACATAAATTATTTTCCTAGATATACCTAAGAAAAAAATATATATATAATGGAAACACTATGCTTTATATTTGTTTTAGTGTTCCCAAAATATTAAATTTAAAGCATATTTTAATCAACTTAAATATAGGCTGTATAGAATAGTAATTGAATGCTCAGAGGAGTAGCTGTGTGACTTTGGGGTATATTTTATATTCATTATTGCCTCAGTTTCTTCATTGTAAAATGGAGATAATAAAAGTTCAAGAAGAAAATGGCAGCCAAATAGGCAGATGGATCATGCACCTTAATAAATTAGACACAATTGAGACAGTTTTCAACAAGGAAGGGCAGAGGACGCCTGGAGAATGGTAGGAGTGGGAATCTGGGCTGGAGAGGGATACCTGGCCTCCTGGCCTCCAAGAGGGCAAGGTGGAAGCTGCATCGCACCAAAGCCTCATCCCTTGGCGACAGGAGTAACACCCAACTGTGAAAAGGAAAAGGCACAGGGCTGCTGGCACCCTGGGAATCTACACCTAAGACCACAGCTGCGAAAGCTGCGCCCTGAAAGGCCGCCTGGAGCAGCCCGAGCAGCTGGGGAGAAACCCACAGTTTCGTGGTTGTTTTGTCTTTGCTTTTATTCTCCAAACCCAGCAGATAGGACTTTTCAGTTGCAAAAACTCACCAAGGCTGTGGTGCAGGGAGAGGCACAGATTTGTGGAGCCTGAGGAGAGGCTGGGGAGGGAAGCAGGGCAGGGAGACATGCCCAGAAATCCCTCACTGAGACATTTGTAACCTTCCAAACCTAAGCATCCATTTCTCTCCTGAGAGCTAGCCCCTCTCAGTAGCCTCAAGGCAGGGAATACAGCCTGCCACACCCTGCCTGCATTTTGAGCTGTACTACAGAAACAAAGGCTCTGAATAGTCCCAAAGAACCCTCAGTGACTGTATTGGAAGAGGGCTTAGTCAGCCCCACTACTTGGGAACCAGACTGATAAAAACTCCAGGTTGCCAGCCAACCTCACTGGTCTACATACAAGGATCTCTGACCAACCAAGGCAAGAGTAATATTTTGGACCACTTGAGGAGGAGTAGCTGTGAGTCAGGGAAAAAAACATCAATCTGATTCCCGGAGAGCACCACCCCCACCTAAAGCCCTGTCAGAAACAGACACTGCAGTGATTGAGAGAGAGGACCCACATAAATAAAATGAGAAACAAAAGTGGAGAAGAAACCACTGACACCACAGAAATACAAAGGATTGTAATAAAATACTATGAACAACTATATGCCAACAAGCTGGACAATGTGGTTGGAATGGACACATTCCTAGAAAAATACAATCTTCCAAAACTCAATCAGGAAGAATCAGAAAACCTGAATAGGCTGATAACAACTGATGAAATTGAAGCAGTAATCAAAAAACTACCAGCAAACAAAAGCCCCAGTCTGGATGGCTTGAAAGGGGAGTTTTACCAAACATTTAAAGAAGAAATAACACGGATCCTCCTCAGATTATTCCAAAAAAATTCAAGAGGAACACTTCCAAGCTCTTTCTATGAAGCTAGCATTACCCTAATCCCAAAATCAGATAAAGACACTATAAAGAAAGAATTACAGGCCAATATCCCTAATGAACATAGATGCTAAAATCCTCAACAAAATTCTAGCAAATCAGATCCAGCAATATATTAAAAAGATCATACACCATGACCAAGTGAGATTTATTCCAGGGATGCAAGGCTGATACAATATCTGCAAATCAATAAACATGATACATCACATAAACAAATTGAAAGACAAAAATCACATAATCATATCAATTGATGCAGAAAAAGCATTTGACGAAGTCCAACACCCTTTTTTAATAAAAACTCTCAGCAAAGTAGGAATAGAGGAATCATATCTCAACATAATAAAAGCTTTATATGACAAAATATAGCCAACATCATACTCAATGGGCAAACACTAAAACCATTTCCCTAAGAACAGGAACAAAACAGGGATGCCCACTTTCACCACACCTGTTCGACATAGTATTGGAAGTGCCAGCCATAGTGATCAGACAAGAACAAGAAATAAAAGGTATCCAAACTAGAAAAGAAGTAAAACTGTCATTATTCACAAATGACATGATATTGTACATAGAAAACCCTAAAGACTCCATAAAAAAATTACTAGATTTAATAAATGATTTGGCAATGTAGCAGGATACAAAATTAACACCCAGAAATCTATGGCATTTTTATATAGCAACTAGGAGCCCAGTGCACGAATTCGTGCACCTTGAAAGGAACTGTGGGCTGCAAAGCTGCAGTAGGCACAGGGCGGGTCTCGG